AACCCCCACACCCCTAAACCCGAAACCCTGAATCCCCAAACCCTAAACCCTGAACCCTGTAAACCCAAAGCCCGAAACCCCTAAACCCCTAAACCCTAAACCCCTAAACCCCTAAACCCCTAAACCCTGAACCCTATAAACCCCAAAACCCTGAACCCCTAAACCCCTAAACCATGAACCAAACACGAGCCCACGTAGCTGGGATTTAGGGTTTAGGGTTTAGGGTTTAGGGATTTAGGGCTTAGGGTTTAGCCCCCCAAAGGGTCCTAGGTACTGTTATGAAGGGATACATTCCCAAATGGGGGTTTCCGAAGTAGGGGACCCTAATTTAGTACCCTAAATAGTAGGACCCTCATTATAAGGACCCCAAAATAAGGTACCTCTGGTTTTCGGAAACTCCCAAATCATAATAATTCCTACTATAGAGACCCTGACTTCTACGATACAGGTACTTAGTTACAGTTCCTTGCGGGTTGAGATTTCCGGCAAGCTTGCATCCGCCTGGAAGTGTTCAGGAACGTAATTTAAGTTACCACAATGGGGAAGTTTAGGGGCTTAGGGTCTACGTAGGGACATACCCGAACAGTTGGATGTAGTTTTCCTATTTTGGTGAAAGTTCATACATGATCTGTCTGTAAAGCGGTACTGCCTGCACCACGACAAAGCATCCACTCCGAATACCTCTGCCTTTGAGGCATATAAACCCAAAACTGCCCCAAACCCTAAACCATCATGAGATGTCACCAGGACGCTCGTAGTTCTGCCAGCTCTCACTGAAACGGCCTGCATTTGCATTGGTTCATATTCCAGGGGGTTTTACAACTTGAAGGTTTGATGGTTTAGGGCTTAAGGGATGTAGGTTTTGGGTTCAGGGTTTAGGGTGGTTCAGGGCTTGAGCTTAAGGATTTAGGATGGTTTAGGGCTTGAGGGTCTTGCGGATGCCACTAGGGATGGGAGCAGGGTATTGTATGATTTAAGGCTTTTGGGTTTCTAGCTTCGAGGCCTTCAGGCATGGAACCGTAAACCCTCAAGCCCGGCACCAAGTCAGGACCACAAAAGTTGAAAGTTTAGGGTTTAGGGTTCAGGGACCCAAGAGCACGAAGCCGCGACGCTGCACTCGACGCCGAAACATTTCGCTCGGCCTTGACCCGCCCTGAGACCTCGATTGACCCCGCCCCCCACCCCAAGATGCCGTAACGTCCCACCCACAGCCTATACACCCAACAGCACCTCGTGACGAGGTGTTACCCCCCAAAGTCCACGGACCTCAGTGTGTACATCATGTAAGGTGGCGGTAGAAGGGGTTCGTATGTCAGCGAGAATGTCAGAACCATGTATATCCCACCAAAGTGCATGGACCCTATAAAATAAACCATAAACCCCGATAAAGCCCTGCACTAACTCTAACCAGACTAGATCCTACAAGACTCCAAGACCAAAATCTGTACATGGACCCTTCTGCTTCACACCCCATTGCGAATCCTAGTCAGCAAATCCGGAGCGCCGCGAGCCTTTCGAGCTGTCGGGCATGGCCCGAACCGCAGCAAGGCGATTTGGATTGCAAAGGAAGAACTCGAAGGTTGCAAGGACGCAGCACTTAGGTACTTGGGGTTTGGAAGAACTAGGAACAACTGATCATCTTGTAACTTGGCCCGTCTTTGGTGAAGTACCGGACGCTTTAACGGAATTCGAAGAATTGACTAGAGTGACTAGAGGTTATAAGGGGTTGAAAGAAACTAGGCATCAGGCTCCTGGCGTCACTGCTGTGGCTGTCAGGTGTGGGTTCCTAAAACTGTAAACCCTAGAACCATGAAGCCCTAAAGCCGTAAACCCTTAAACCGTAAACCCCTAAACTCTAAACCCTATAAACCCTAAACTCTATAAACCCTAAACCCTATAAGCCCTAAACCCTACAAACCCTAAAGCCGTAAACGTTGGGTTCAGGGCCAGTGGGACTCTAGGCTTCTCTGGCACCTCTGAGAGCTAAATTCTGGTAGGGTTTGAGGGTTCAGGGTTTTAGGGCTTAGGGTTCAGGGTTTCATGGTTTAGGGCTTTAAGGGGGTTCAGGGGTTCAGGGTTATAGGGTTTAGGGTTTCATGGTTTAGGGCTTTAAGGGGGGTTAGGGCTTGGGGTTTAGGGTTTAGGGTTTGATGGTTTAGGGTTATTTAGGGGGTTAGGTGTTTGGGGCTTGGGGCTTGGTGGTTTGGTTTTGAGGCCACCGAAGCTGAGAAGAAAAGAACGCGGCGGAGCCAGTGACGATGCTGCTTCGAAGGTGGACGGCGCGCTAGTGTCGGGGCCTAAATAATTCCCAATGATATTTTGGGGGGTTCCTGATGAGAATTATAGTATAATGGACCCGAAAAACCCAAATATGTGGATCTTCGATGCTGCTGTCAAGTCGGATGTGCAGAAGCTCCCAACTAGGCACTTTATAAAGCAAAGTACGCCAAGGACATATCCGGTGCTCCTGTAGCAGCCTAAACCCACGGGTGAACCTGGGGTGGGGGTGGCTGTTCCAAACGTCGCGGGGTTCCTGTGATGCGAAGTCTTGCGAGGTGTTCAAGCGGGCTTGTTCTAAATTATCCCAGTGCATGTGCCCACGAAGTATACACTCGGGCTACAGCCACCACACCATACACCCCAGTAAGGCCCATCTATATATGTATATATGTTACAAAGGTACCTGGGCCCCTTAGTGTATGGCTCTCCGTCAGCATCCTGTCAGAATCGAGTGTATACTTTGACACGGGCCCGAAGTTCACAGCTGCGATCCTTATCAGAAATACCCCAGTAGAGCTTAGAATCGCATAGAAGTCTAACAGTTCTGTCGGGCATGTACCTTCAGTGCAAACCATAATTGGGTTCAAAGATGACGCCAGAAGCCTAACTTGCTCTGTGTTATGGTACTGTTGAAACCTCTTCAGCTACACCCTGTAGCTTCAATTTCCTGTTCTGTGGGGCTTTACCCTAGCTTCTAGGGGTCAGGACCTAGGGTTGTGGCTAGTGGTTCAACCCTTGAAAACCAAATGACCCTTATAAGCGGGGGCCCTATACCCTCATACTATGAACCCCTATATGGTATATGAACCTGAAACCCTTTTGAGGTTCAGTTCGTCCTTATAAGGAACTAAGAAAGCATTCTCAGGTCAAGCGCCCTGGAGGTTACTTCGGCAGGTTTACTCTGCATATCCCAAGAACGAAAGCGCAACTATATGGAAGTCTCCGAAAATAAGGGGTACCTTATTTTGGGGTCCTTATAATAAGGATCCCATTATTTAGGGTACTATATTAGGGTCCCCTATTTTCGGAATCCCCCATATTGACAACTTATGCACCCGCCAATAGAATGCCTAAAGAGCCCTGTAGCTACACACAACCACCAACACCCCAATAAACTTGGTTGCGAGAGACCCTTCAAAATCCTTGGGCTATGAGCCGTCAACTAGACGTCATACCCTTAAACTATAGAGATAGTGATGACTGCATAACTAGAGCTACGCGCAGAGCTTAGGCTTTGCATGAGGGCCTGCAACTCCTACGAAACCCAAAACCCTAAGCGCGAAACCCTAAAGATGGATAACCAAATGACCCTTATATGTAGGGGCCCTATACCCTCATACTATGAACTCCTATATGGTATATGAACCTGACACCCTTTTGAGGTTCATTCCGTCCTTAAGGTAAACCCCAGAAACCACGGGTCACTCTGACACGTAGCGCGCTTCAGAGGCCCATTCTGCCTCAGCATCACCGAGGGTTTCGGCTGTCGGGGATGGTGGGTGGTGGTTCCAGAGATGTTGAGGATTAGGGTTTAGGGTTTAGGGGGTTTAGGCTTAGGGTTTAAAGGGGTTTGCGTTTTGGGGTTTAGGATTCAAGGTTTTGGGTTTTAGGGTTGTGGGTTCAGGGGCTTAGGGTGGCGTAGGAAGAATACGGTGGAAGGTCTTCTCGTTCTAGTGTCGAATGAGGGCCTCCGTTTTTGCGTGATTTTGGGGTCCTGGGCTCTGGCATGGTGACTCCAAACTAAAGGAAACTACAGGTGGGGAGTTTGGGGTACATAGGGCTTCTAGAAGGCTTCTATAAGGTATATAGCCCTTCTAGAAGGCTCCCATAACGGTAACTACCCACCTGAAAGTGTCCTAGACCGGAGACTCTGCAGCAAAGGAGGCAAAAACCGTGAACCCACGACATGCTTCCTACATATTCCTCCCCTTTCTATCCCTGAAGTCAAGTGTCCGAAACCTGCTGCCCCTGAGGGTTTGGGTCTAGGATCTTAAATAAGAGTGAAGTAAGTTAGAACCCGTGGGAGTAGATGATAATACAGGTATGTCTTTGGGGGGAGTCTGTACACATGGGGGGTACTTGGGACCCTATTCTCGGAGTTGCCTGCTTCCCCACTTGCAGGTTCCTCCAACCCTAAACCCCAATTAGAGAGGGTTTAGGGCGTTTAGGGTTTAGGCCTGGTCCTATGGGCCCAAAACAAGGGGATGCTATTTTTACCCTCAGACCCGAATTGTGGTTCCAATAATACAAGGTTTAGGGTTTAGGGTTTAGGGCCTGGAGAGTGTGAATAGGGTTTGGGGTCATATTATCATGTATAAAAGTTAACACTGGGGCCCTTAAAGGAGAGCCGTGGTAGTTGCTCCGACCCCTATGCTAACCTAGTGTTTTGCATGGTATACTCCACAATGGCTTTTTTCTACGTAGAGGTAGGCCTAAACCCGACATCCCAGACCCTAAACCCACAGGCCCTAAAGTAGTTCCTTTTTGGGGTTCATATATAGAATCCTACAAGGTAACCCCAAAAAGGAACTACTATGGGGCCTATGGGTAAACCCTAAATCCTGAACACCCAAGGCCTGGCCTGGCACCCTAAAGCCGTTAAATCCTAAACCCCGAAGACCCTACAGGCCGTACTACAGGGGTTTAGGGTTCAGGGTTTGGGGTTTAGGGTTTAGGGGTTCAGGGTTTAGGGTTTAGGGTTCAATGCTATTTTGGGGGTTCCTTATTATAATCATAGTATAATATACCCCAAAACCCTATTCTAATTATTAAGGCCCCGACTATAGAACCCTATTATAGATCCCTTATAGAGCCCCTTTAAGGATGCCTTTAAAGGAGCCCTATTCTAACTCTTAAGGCGCCCTTATATGACTTCAGCTCGAAACCAAATTGGGTAGTTGTCAAAATTCTGGTCCCTTTGGCATTTGGGGGTACCCTAAACTATAGGTGCCGTACTATAATAAGGACCAAAGAAAAGGACCATAATTATAGCAAGGACCCAAAAAAGGACCATAATTATAATACGGACCCAAAAAGGGACCCTAATTTTGACAACCACCCAAATAAACCTAAACCCTAAACCCAAATGACAGCCAGGCCTGTACCGGGCAAACACATGCTGGGCAGAAGGTCGCCTTCCCGGCTCTAGGCGGGCACTCTTCTAAGGTCTTTAGGAGGAACCCTTCATAGGGACCTTTGTAGGTTATTGGGGTTACTTAGAACTCTTGAATGCACTGTAGCAGCTTTAAGCCCTAGCTCCATGGCACATTCATCTTTGGTATCAAAACCTGAAAGGCCAAACCAACACCCTAAACTCTAAACCCTAAGGCAACCTAGGACAGGCATCAAACTGTTTCCATTAAGAAGTAGTCAGTGGCTACAACAAAGGGCAGCCGGAGGGCGGGGGCTTCTACAAACACCCTGAACTCAGTAGACTCAACGTCGAATACTCCTCCTTTTCCGTTGCAAAAGAAACGCCAAAGACAATGTTTAAACCTTAGACCCTACAGCACTGAACCCCACAACCCTAAAGTGTCCGAGACCTGCGGCTTCCATCCCCCGTCACCTCCTGAAGCATAGTAATGATATGCGGGGGTTACTAAGGAAACTCGTTGCCAACTAGTGCGTGTGTGGTGGACCTTCATATGAACAAACGTTAAGCGCACAATAACCACCCAAAAAAAAGTGACTGGTCCCAAGTGGGTTTCTGGGCTAATTACGGCGGCAAACTTCATTCCCACAGTCTAAACCCCCTAAGCCTTTCGACCTGAAAATCCCACCGTCCGAGCCTTCGGTGTGATTGCATCACCAAGATTGCCTTTTGAGGAGGCAAGGTTGTGGGCACTTTGCAGTGTTTGCAGGTTGTATTGTCGGGGCGGACTAGTGGCAATAGTATACTTTTGCATGCATGTACCTTTCTGTGTATATATATATATATACATACATGTATATACATTTCGATACATCAAAATGTCAACAACATAAATGTACATAAGTAAACAACGAACAATAAAATAAACCAATGACCTACATATATACATATACATACATACATACATACATATATATATATATATATATACATGTCTACAGTATACCTATGTCTGTATCTATACTTATATATATATATATATATGCTTACATATTCTCGAGCCAAAGACAGACATTTCTGATTATCTCTACCTTTGGAATGAGTTGTTGCCGGGATTACACTATGTGAGTTTCTACGGTATTTTGGTTTTGTGCTGAAAATGCTTACGTCGTAGGTTTTTGATATTGACTTTGACGGCTTGATGGCTCTGCGAACTTAGCAAGTAATGTCTGAGGTTGGATTCCCAAGCCGCCTCAAACACTAGACACCTGCCTCCAGGTACTTGGCTGTGCCTCTTCATGGCTTTAAGGGGACAAGGCCGCCTTGGTAACAAAGCTTCGACTAGAGACAACGCCTGTCGCAGAGGCCATTGCAAGCTCAGAGCTTCCACAGACACAATGCAATCAAGTAGCCGTATGCTTAACTCCATAGTATCCACAACCGGTAGCTTGCTACTTACAGGTTGCTGGGTAGGCCAGGAATGAAAGGTGAGCGTCAGTAAGGAAGGGTCAACTTCAAGAGTTGCACGCCTGCGTCAACTTTGAGGATTGTGAGCCTAATAGCGGGGTGTCTGTTGGGATCAAGCATCGAAAGAAAGTCAGGCGGTGTCTAGACCACAACGATCCAAGCAATATGACATGACGAGGTGATAAACTGCAGTCACCATCATCACAAGGAGCTCTTTCATCCTCGCACGCCTGACCTGTTCCATGTCCAGGCATGGGCGACTGCTGGCCACCTAACTTAAATCTGTAGAGCCAGCCCCCGTCATACTCATAATCACAGCATTATTCTCGGTCACTCGCTAGGGCCTGCGAGATTCCCCAAGGCTTGCTTGAAAAACGGAATAAGACTACAAACTCAGAACCAACCTTTATAAGTAGACTCCAGACATTATGTTTCCCCAGCCCATTGCGGTGAGAGGTGAGGGCATTCCGGACTAGAGTCGGGATGGTATACCACCCGTGTTGACATTCCGTTAAAGAGGTGGAACTCATTGTGACAATGTAGCAGCCATCGCCCAGGATTATTGGCGTCGAACTCCATCGTGACACGATGGTTCCTCTCAACCCAAACTGTGTCATGAGGGCCGCTGGCGTCTCCTTGCCACTCCAACACCCACCGACCGCCTGTAAAATTCTCCACTTTGCGTAATTCCATGATGTGGCCGTGCAGGTGGATCGGATGGCCTTCCCCATCACCAAACCTTGGGACGTTCGACACTGTCAGCTGGACGCGGTCTCCCCTGCAAACCATAAGCGGCTTCGATTGCAGACTCTGCTGCCTGATGGGTATGGCATATTCAAGCGGGACAGGCCGGAACCGAGAACAATTCTTGGCATCCATGTCCGACCACTCCCAGCACCTTCCGTGGATGATTCCCGTGGCGTTGAAGCGCTCCAGCAACTCGCACCCCTGGCATGGTCTTCGAGAATGCACCTGGGGTTGATTTGGTAGTTTCAGACAACTAAGGGTACCCTATTTAGGGGTCCTTATAATAAGGATCCTACTATTTAGGGTCCTATATCAGGGTCCCCTATTTTCTGAAACTCCCATTTGGAAGCCCGGTAAGAAAATAGAACTATATCCTGGCAAGGGTTATTTAGGGATTGGGGGTAGCAACACTTAGCAAGCGTGTTCAAAACAACTCTTGGCACCATGTAGCCAGTTTCATTCTGCTGCCACGATCTGGTGGGAGGAAGAGGCCACTTGTACTCTCTGCATAGGTGAACCTGCTCCTGTGCGTAGCAGTTACCAGCAAATCCGAATTGCTCTCCAGCTGAGATCTCCCATGACAGGTTTCTCATGACTTTGCGCTTCTTCATGGGATATCTTGCAGGGGTCAGCCTGCTGAAGTGAGAGTATGCCGGCATGAAGCGTGGAAATTCCGGCGGGACACATGGCTCTGGAACTTTGCTCGCGTCCAAGAACAGCACCCTGCTAACTGGATGTTGTTCATCACCAGCATGGCTGCCAGAAGACACAATGATTGGGTAGCACCCAGAGCCAGGGACTTGAACGAGGACATCTGTTCTCTGAGCTGAACTCAGAATAATGGCATGCTCCTTGGTGTCAACCATGTGCCCTCTTTGAACATCATTGCCATCCAGAGCCAGCAGCATGGCACTGGAGAACCACGATAAGTTAAAATGCCAAGTGGCCTCAGTGCCGGCATTCCGCAGCCGCAGCACAAATTTCTCGCCAGCTGAGCATGGCACAACTTGCGGTGACGTTTTGCGGTTCAGGTAGTATGCCACCCTGGCGTGCTCCGTGGTGACAAGATGCTGGCACTTCTCCGGGTATAGGAAAGGACTGTAGGCGCAGTAAGGATGCACGAACTGGTCTTCGGCCATCAAGATTAGCTCGCTGGGATTGCCCAGATTTTGTCTCTCTTGCGAAGGATGCTGTAGCACCAGAGGGATCCACAATCCCAAGCCAGCATGCAAGCTGCTGTGCGCGTGGAGCCAGAAACTGCCACCCCCAACTTGTGCGCGGAACCTGTACTCCCTTTCCTCGCCAGGTGGAATGGGAGGCTCGGTGATGTAGGCAACTCCGTCTTGGCCATTTGGTGGATTCAAGCCATGGGCATGCAAGCTTGTGGGCTCTGAGAGCTCATTCAAGACCAAAAGGCGAAAATCATAGTGGTACTTCTCCCACGCTTCCATGAACTCTTCGGGCTGCGTCCCGGGTGATCTGAAAAGGCCGTATCTGGATAAAGTACAGGCCATCCGCCGTCATCTTGCACTGCACACAATCGTCCGAAGAGGTTTTCTCAAGGTCACACTGCAATGCCAACTTGTCGAAGCCAGTGCTGGATGTGTTTACGGCCCTCAACAGCTGTGGCATCCTCTGCGGCTGGCATAACGGCTGGAGCCCGGAATCAAAAATCCGCAAAACGGCTACACAGGCCATGATGCAACCTGTTGTCATCACGACCGTCCCCAAAACGAGGCACCTAGGGCTGGCAACTGGTGTACCACACCAAGCATTGCGGCACATGGCTCCTCGTCAAGAAGGTCGAGTAATTATACCTGTGAGCCTCAGCAGCTCCTACAAAAGGGCACGGCAAAGCCGAAAAAACACCTTTGCCTTCTTGGTGCCTTATAAAACTTCACTCAGAAAACCTCTGAGGCCAAGACGTCGCCAAGCGACAGGGCCCGGAGAGAAGGGGCAGTTGATGGCGAGCAGGCGAAGCAGGCGGCGCCCTGATGCTACAGGGTTTTTGGGTTTAGGGTTTATGCGGTTTAGGGTTTAGGGGCTAATTAAGGGTTTAGGGTTTAGGTTTCATATATGGTTTCATAAGGTTTCGGGTCGAGGTTTAAGTGCTTTGGGATTTATTCAGGGGCCTTGTTAGAATAGAGTAAGACTCTTTATCAAGGGTCCGTGAAGAAAAGGGTTCTTAACAGTTAAAACTGGATTTGGGGGTCTATCTTATACCAACCGTAAGGAACATCAAGGAATGACGTTAGTACCTTAGGGACGAAATGAACCTCAACAGGGTTTCAGGTACAAAAACCATAATATAGGGGTTCATAGTATGAGGGTATAGGGCCCCTACTTATAAGGGTCATTTGGTCCCCAAGGTAGTCCGAACCCTATACTTGTTGCGGTTTGCTGAACTTGTTGGGCGGTTCAGGCGCCTTTGGGCTTCGGCTAAACCCTGAACCCGAAACCTTGAACCCAAAAAACCTTGAACCCTAAACCCTAAACCTTAAACCTTAAACCCCAAACCCCAAAGCCTAAACCCAAATGGCTTCCACAGGGTTCTACTGAAGGCCCTCAGGACCGTGCGGCAATTTTAATAATTGGGTTTAGGGTTTAGGGGCTTAGGGGCGGGTTTTAGGGGTTGAGGGTTTAGAAGTTTAGGGGTTGAGCGTTTAGGGGTTTAGGGGTTTAGGGTTTTGGGGTTGAGGGGTTGAGGGTTTGGGGTTTGGGGGTTGAGGGTTTAGGGGTTTGGGGCACCGAAGAAGCAATTAGGCTTCAAGGTTATCGTTTTGGGGTCTTTAGTTTAGGGCTTTATAATTATTTTCGGTTGCGTTGTAGGATTCATCTGGACAATCAAACTTCTGCGCGAGTGTCTCACCAGTCTGAATCTCCTTCGTGGGCACAGGAACATCCAGAATCACGTCTTCTTAAACTCCTTCGTGGGCATTGGTACAAGAATATTCCTAGAATGGTGGATCAGTCTTAATGTCTTTCGTGGGCGAATAGGTGTCTTGCTAACGCACTGCGGGCCTAGTAATTTCTTAGCCGAGCTCATCGTACTCTCAAACCCCCCGGCCCTAGACCCTAAACCCTAAACCCTTAACCCTGAACCCTAAACCCTAAACCCTGAACCCTGAACTCTCAAACCTAAACCCTGAGCCCTGAGCCCTGAACCCTAAACCCTGAACCCTAAACCCTCAAACCCTAAACCCAAAGCTCTGCGCCTCCGAACCCGAAAGCTTCCAAGCTTCATAAGCCATAGGAAGCCTTGGGGACCAAATGACCCTTATAAGGAGGGGCCCTATACCCTCATACTATGAACGCCTATATGGTATATGAACCTGAAAGCCTTTTGAGGTTCATTTCGTCCATAGGAAGGAAGGAAGGCCTGCTCGGTTCAACATGCTCCACAACGGCCACTTGGCAACCTCAGAAGGTTTGGGGGGGCGCAAAAGTGTAGTTTAAGGTTTAGGGTTTAGGGTTTAGGGTTGTGTAGTTTAGGGTTTTGGGAGTTTGGGGTATGGGGTTTCGGGCTTAGGGCGGCAAGTTTCTAGCCTGCTTTCCAGCCTGTCTGGTCTTCAGGCTTTCGCAGTGTGAAGTTTAGAATCTCAGCACTTTCCTGCAACCCTAATCCCGCATTACGTCCGGTGACCATTGTCAGTCTCCCCATCAGCGAACTCAGAACATATACTCACCAAAATCAGAAGACTTGCCAAAGCCCAAACATCAACTCTACTTTCTACAAAACCAAAAGGTTTATCATTCAAGCCACCCTACAGTGGGCTGGATGGGTTTAGGCGTGTTCCCTTCTCTTTAACGTCAATAGAAGTCCTATAAGCTTATTTGCCGAGTATTTTCAAGGGCTCGATAAGAGTTCTACAGCTTTAGAGACTATGGGCCTCACGGGTTCAAGGTTTGTTGGTTGGATATGGGAGTTTCCGAAAATAAGGGGGCACCTTATTTTTGGGCTCCTTAGAATAAAGATCCTACTAGGTAGGGTACTATGTTAAGGTCCCCCTATTTTCGGAAACCCCCATATGGAGTTCCAGGGTTTAGGACTTCAACTGGTTAGTTGGGAGTTCTACGGTTTGGGATATCGGTCAATCCCTTGCGGATTTGCAGGCCTCGGACTTAGATTGATTGGTTTTCAATTTGAGGATTTAGGATCTAGGCTGGTTTGTTTGGGATTTGAGGGTGAAGGACTTAGGTAAGCTGGTATGGGATTTGAGGGGTTAGGATTTCAGGATTGAAGCCAAGTTGGAAGGAGAGGGGTTAGGGTTTCAGGATTGAAGTGAACTTGGAAGGTTTGGGATTTCAGGGCCTGGAACCTCGTAGATTAGTCTAGCTTGCATGCTTCAAATGCTGGACAATGACTTTCTGCATCTCGATTTTAACCCTAAGCCCTAAACCCTAAACCCTAAACCAAAACCCTAAACCCTAAACCCTAAACCTCGATTTTCAAATCCTCGCTTACAACTCAAACCCATTAAGCTTCCCTAGATGAGGGCTTGGAGCCTGGGTGTTGCGGGTTTAGGGTTTAGGGTTTAGGGTTTAGGGCTTTGACTGACACTACGGCGCTGCATCCTGACATATTTCGCGAGCAGTTGGCTCAATCCTTGCATGCAGGCACCGGAAAGAAGCCTCGTAAAGCCTTGCGGGAATATCCAAACCCTAAGCCACCCCCACCCCCTATGACCCCTTCGAGAACCGCATCAGGGAAAACCCTTCCCAAACCTGGAAGCAAACAAACTTAAAACCCTTTTTGAAGCAGCGGAGCTGGCTCAAGAGTATCTTCACCACCTCGTCTTGCTGTGCTGAAGTTCATCCCCACAGCATGCGGATTCCACCCGTCGCCCAGCACGACGACCATGCATGTCACGTTGTCTTGGCTGCCGCGTTGCAGTGCCTGATGGCAGACACTGGAAAAGCGACTGTAAGGTGACCACAGACTGGATGCTCGATCCTTCTCTTCGACTTACACCAAGAGCTCGGCCTCAGATTGGAAGCCAGTCACAAGCTCCGGCGCGAGAAGACTTGGATTTGGGAGCATAGTTCCAAGTTCCAAACAGTCACTGGTCCAGCCCAGTTTCGAGGACGCCATAGGTTTGAGGAGCAGTGGGGGTAGGGGTCATTGCAATTGCGTACAGTTGCCAGCGGTGCAAGGAATAGTGATGCATCAAACACTTGGAAAGATCCTCTCTGAAGCCCAAACCCAAATTCCTAAACCCGCCTTATAAGCCCTACTATAGCGCTTACAGACCCCCAAACCCTAAAACCACAACCCTCAACCCCCCTAACCTCTTATAGTGCCCTCAGAATACTAAAGGAGCCCCAAACCCTAAAGCCAAAACCTTAAAACTCTAAACCCCAAACCCTAAAAACCCTAAACCCTCTAAACACCCTGCAAACCCAACTACCCCTGAAACAAACCCTGAACCCTAAACCCCAAAAACCATTAAAAACAAAACCCTAACCCTAAACCCTAAACCCTAAACTCGAAACCCTAAACCCTAAACCCGAAACTCAAAACTCTAAACCCAAAACTCAAAACTCTAAACCCTAAACGCGTGAACCCCCCGGGATCCCTGGCCAACAGCTCGAAGAAGTAGGGCCCTGCCCCCAGCTTCGCCCATCGGAGGACCTCCTGACGATGGGCTGAGGTTTTAGGGTTTGGAGTTTAGGGGGTTCAGGTGGTTTAGGGGTTTGGGGCTCAGGGGGTTTAGGGGTTTTAGGGGTTCAGGGTTTGGGGGCTGAGATTTAGGGTTTGGAGTTCAGGGGGTTCAGGGAGTTTAGGGTTTGGGGGTTTTAGGGTTTGGGGGCTTTAGGGGTTTAGGGTTTGGGGGCCTAGATTTAAGGTTTGGAGTTAAGGGGTTTGGGGGATTTAGGGTTTGGGGGCTTTAGGGTTTGGAGTTTAGGGGTTTAGGGGGTTTGGGGGTTTGGGGTTTTAGGGTTTAGGGTTTAGGGCTTAGCTAGAGTTTAGGGGTTTTAGGGGTTAGGGTTTAGGGCTTAATTAAGGATTTGAGTTTAGGAGTTTAGGGGTTTAGGGGTTTCGGGTTTAGACTTTAGGGGTTTTGGGGGTTTTAGGGTTTAGGATTTAGGGTTTAGAGTTTAGGGGTTTGGGGGTTTAGCGGTTTTGCAGCTTAGGGTGAAAATGGATGCTCGGTTGAAGGATTTCTATAGCATGGTTTCCATGTGCTTCTTTTTATCCTTCCTGTACAAGCTCTCAGCAGCCTCTTTATATGGCTGCATAATGGCTTCACAGAGTAAGTTGTATATGTAATGGGTGCCTGTTGCCGGCATTGCACCTGCTGCGCTGTTGCTGCTAATGTAGGTGCCTTAGTGATTAGAACTAGAATAGGGCTTTGGGGCTCATTCTACAGTACCCCAACAACATAGTACTATACTGAACTTAGACCCCTAGCAAAAATTATAATTTTAGCTACTTCTTAGGGTTTATAGTAGCCAAAGATTAAAAATTATTTGTAAGTTCCCCTAAGAGTATAGGTACTTATTAAGGCCCCCA